GAAAAATGATTTAAGTCGAAATGTTGCGATATGAATTGGCTTCCGAAAACTCTGTCATCAAAATTTTGATATGGGGCTTGCTTCACCAATTTCTATGGTACCCATGTCGTTTTTTTAGACAAAACCTATTTTTTTGAGGTATATTTTTCGAAACTGGCTGGACATTTCAGATGAGGGACAACTTTTTTTTTTGAAGCAGTCTAATGCACATGCATGTGTGTTATATTATAACGTATTCTCATTTCGTTGAACCCACTGACATGTGATCTTTTCATTAACATCTCATTTGAGCGCTAAATATAAACGAGGAGATAATAGGCTCAGCGAATACTAATGTGTGCACTGTAAACACAACATGCTGTAGAGTCATCACGTCTAAAATTGAGACAGCTATATCACACGATTATACGGTCGGAGTGTATTGCCATAAACACAACAAGTGGGTTTGTCTTCCGTTGTTCCAAACATGTATTGATCACGCTACGCTCAGATATGCTACTAAATGAATTATGTTTCTTCTCTTACAGCTCAATGCCGTTGTGCCTACCTATTCTACGTGTTTAAATTACAATGACAATAATCTTTCATGAATAAGAGTTCAAAACGAAAAAAATAAGAGGGGATATCACTTCCAATTGAATGAACCGGATTAAAAGAATGCTTGTGTACAAACGCACCTATACACACACACATTCATACAAACAATGGCACTGATTTAGCTATTGAAACGATTGTGTTTGTTATTCGTTTGTTACCTGTGCGCTGGAACGATGAAATACACGGCACTCCCATTATTTTTCAACAATCGAATATTTTTGGGACTAAGGTAACATGGATGGAAGATAAGATAACATATGAATGAATGAAAGAAGTACACATAAATTGTTGACATTCACCTTTTTTATTCTCAAACTTGTCAGTTCACATTCTTGATTAAGTTCCAGTGGAAGAGAAAAAACTTACGGACAAATGGATAAAGTGGTGATTTTTTGGCTTATCTGCTTGTGATGTTCGATAAATTACATATTTTCGAAAAAATCCAATTGATGCCCATGAGAATGACATCAACTTCACGAATGAAAAGTTCATAAATAAAAACAATGACCTTGAAAAGCACATCAGTAATCGGTTATTGCATATCTTCAGGCGAATTCGAAAGTTCTCTTATATTTTGCAAAGTGTTTTTTTTTTTATTTCAAAACGTTTACATTTCTCTTGTTTTTTTATTTATTTAATCATAAATTTGCATGTAATCAATGGATTTTCAATCCTTTGTAGAGCATGTTTAAAGCCTCACCCAACCAAGCTGAGTAGTGTATTACGATCAATACCTAGATCGCACTGTGGCCATTTATCACATGGAAAATTTGTTGGGCCAAAGACATATGCATGAAAACAGCCCCAGCCATAAATTAGAAAATTTCCATGAGCACAACGACAATCGGGAGCAATACCAACTGATCCCGGTGGACATGAACGACCGGAATAGCTGATAGGTTTGCAGAATCTCGTCTCAACATCATACGCTCTATCGAATTTTTGGCCACAGTAACATTTTGGGTGAATCCCCGTTCCATTGCCGCACTCAATGTAACATTCGTTAATGTAAGCACTATAGATATGATCGTTTTCGGTGCAAGTGCAATCTGGAAAACGACCTATATCAAAAATTAGATGATGACAAAGAGAAAGAAATGAATAAATTTTCTTATGAGAAATTCAATAATAATAATAATATGTTTTTTAACCTGCTGAATTTTCAGGGCATTCACGACAAATTTTCCAAGGTGGAACGAAGACCGCAGTTTCATTTTGACAACGACAATTGGGAAATTGGCCAGTTGTTCCTTCCGGACAGCCGATACATTTATTCTTCTTAGTGTCATAGAAAAGTGGATCTTCACAGACGCAATTTGGATACTTGCCGGTGCTTTAGTGTAGAATGTAAATACAAAGATTAAAATAATGTAACGAATGTCAAAGTTGAAAACAAAAATGAATCAATTTTCATTTTGGCAGTATGTACAGTATGCCTTAAAGGTGATAACATACTTGTTCATACACAAAATGATGACATCAAATGAATTGACAATAAACGATATACCTCTTCTTAGGGCAGGCACGGCATCGGTTGATTTCCTTCAAGTATGTTGCTTGTCCTTCGCACTTGCATTCTCCATATAATCCGCTTGCATTCGGAGGACATCGACGACAGTACAGCCCATCAAACACTTTTCCTTCTTCGCACGTGCAATTTGGAAATACTTCATTTGGATTGGGACAGTGCGAACAGTATGGATCTGAATCTAAAGCCTAAGGATATGTGAAAATTGAACTGATATGAAACAAAATTTCCGCTCAAAAAGTAAATGTAAAATTTACCGCTAATTTTGATACAGAATGTGAGTTTGTTTCTCGTTTAGAATTTGATTTTGACTCAGATTCCTCCTCTTTTTCTTCTTCTTCCATTTCCAAATATCCATCGAGTTCATCAACTCTTTCGTATGGATCATCAAAATAACCGGATTTAAAAACTACATTTGGATTTGAAATAAAAAAAAGGGAAAATATGTTGATACCTCAAGCAGTTGATATAATACTAAACCGAGTATAGTTGAATAACTATCTTCTGTTATTTAGAAGGTGTTGCTGCAAATTGGTTATACATACTGTTTCCATTCTTGCAATGGCAGTCGTAATCAGTTCCATACGTGCTTGGTGGACACTCGGTGTAGATGTTTTGATATTCACCAAATGTGGCATTAGGATTGGTTGCACTTTTGCAGTTTGGATATAAAAAATCTGGTTTACTGCCTGGTGGACAGCGTTTGCACACGAAAAATGCTGTAATTCAAATCAATCATCGATTCAATACCTGACTTTCGATGAAGTTATCATATTAAATAGACCAAAATTCGATGTAACTTTCTAACGTTTTGCTCCATTTAATTTGAAGTACTTACTTTTGCTGAAGCCAGCTAGCGCATCGTCACATTTGCAATTCGGAAAGCGGCCCGTGCTGTTTTCAGGGCAAACGCGACCGCACACATTGAAGTAATCGTTGTACTCGAAGTTCTTTTCGGTGCATTTGCAGTTTGGATACACTGAATCGGCCGTTGTATTGGGAGGACAAATTGGATTTGGACACGAGTTCGTTTTGTTATCATATTCATCACCGAATCGACACTTACAGTCTGGATATTTGCCTTGACTTATTATTGATGGACATATGGTCGTACATTTCTGTTGAGCGAACGACCAACCAATGTTTTCTCCGGTACAATTACATTTTGGGAAATAGCTTTCAAATCGATTAGCGCAACCTTCAAACGATTGAACAAAATCGACACCAAGAAAAATGCACAGCACAAAAATGACACCGTAGAACCTCTGTAAATGATACAAACTAATGATTTTATAAGGTAACAATTGGCAAGTTGAAAAAATATTCACCATATTTTTAGCAATGACCGTCTCAGCCATAGGACAATTATCAACTGATCGGAGGCCAGAACAGAAAATGAAATGACACTGAAGAGTCTTTCGTGAAGATGATAATTAAGCTTAACTCCATTATGCATATGATTCAGCGTGTAAAACCCGAATTCAACACTTTTTTTGGCTATAAAAAACGTGCTAATTAAATCAAATTGAACCGGTCATGTAGGATAACATGAATTCGGAACATACAGCTGCGTGACCACGAAGTTGATGTAGTACAAATAAACAAATACGAAACAGGTTAATACAGATCAAAACAATCTGTTTACGATTAAAATATACTTTTAGCCGGCGCAAGATAGCGGTGGCGCCTAAATAAGATGTATTAGCAATTTGTGACATTTTTAAGAACTATCAATACTTGTTGTTGTTGTCATGAATTTTGCAACAACAAGAAGTATTGATAGTTCCTAGACTTGCCGCAGACTCTATTTAGGCGCCACCGCTACTCACTGTCACGTCAAATACATTGGTAAGAACCAAGAGAAGCACAGGTCGGATTAAAATGAAAAAGAAAAAATTGACTTTCTTATGAATGATCCATTGAAAACGAATGAAGAAAAAAAAATTGTATGAACTTGAACTGACATGAGTTGCACAAGAGTCTCTATATTCTTTGATGTCAGGTGTTTACAAACATTTTACAGTGAATTGAATACAAGTACAAGTTATAGTATGAGATCAATATATAAAACCAGCTTACCGTAACAGATGATCAAATGATTTTTATCACAAAAGCTTCGAAACGATTTATCAACTACGTAGTACGCTAGTTTCGTTGTCTTTTTATGCGCGCTAAGTACCGAATAAAAATACACAACATATAAATGCAATTTATATGGATATGTATAATCTATCTCTGGTTATTTTCGAATGGAGTTCCCATGAAGAAAAAAAAAGACCGTTCTTGAGTTTTTAGTTATTTAATCTATTTTGTTGTTCCACAACAAACTATTTTTTGGCGCACTACATGAAATGTATTTCATCAAAGTAACTTTGAAGTAATATATTTATTTTCAAAATGAATTACAAGATCTTGGTTTTTTTTTCTTTTGTGAAATATACTGCCTTTGGTTTAAATTAAATAAATAATATGAGCATAGAATCTAAAATCACTTTAATTCTGTTCAAGACTCAGAAAAATACTATACGAAAAATTAATGTAATTTTTAAAAAACATTCGATAATAAAAATTTGATTGGCGCTTTGAGATGTTGTGCACTTATTTTTTGTCGTTAGTGCACCTGTTTTAAATTAAATAAAAAATATGAGCATAAAATTCAAATTCACCATAATTTGTTTCATCACTCAAAAAGTATCTAGAAAAAAAAAGCAGATTAGTAGCTCTACATTTCATGTAGTGCTAAAAATGAATCATTAAATTTTGTGATGACAGAGTTCTGACACTTTAATTTACAGTCATATAGATAGAAATTACAATGAAAATTGAATTGAAAGAAAAAAGATAATTGTATATAGCCAGTGGAAGCTGATGGTAATATGTCTTATGGCTGAAAATTCATTGACGAAGCTTTTGATTTCACCTCCAGCTGCGATCAAATTGATTGCTAGTTTTTGTTCTTTGGTTGATTTTTTTCAGCCTCTTGCAGAATTTTGGCGATTTCAACTCTGCCCATTACTATGATACAGCTTAAATATAAAGAAGGACGCAAATGAGTGGATTCTCCCTTACAATATAAATGCGTAGTTCAATTTCTTCAATAGCGAGCGACTTTCGGTGTTCTTTGTGGCTCGCGTCAATTGAAGATAATAAAATATTCATCTTATGAATGACTTCGCTTCGACTTCCCAAAATTGAATATCTGTCTGTATTGTCATCAAATCGATAAAATATTTATAAGGATTAGAATAACTTTATTAGAAACAATTTGTTGCAGCCATAGGTTAGATTCATTGACAATTATTTTAAGCATTTCAATGCGAAATGTGTGTATGTCTTATATTTCAAAAATTCCCCATAAAATTTAGATAATATTATTGAATTAAATAATTTATGGTTATCCGCTAGACATACGAATAGAAACAGAAAACACGAAAATAAGATAGTATTTCAAACGTTTGAAAAATTAATTACGACAGTCAGAACAAACTGCATTTTTAAAATCCTTCTCGACGCCGCGAGAAATCAAACGGCACGCATAACAACAAAGCCATGAATTAAAAATGTGGCCGAATACTCGTGACATACATACAGACCTGCAGTTTAGCTGATGTCTATCCCCTTTCGATAGATATATCGGTAACCGGATTTGCTATATGAAACACAATCGGAACTCATTTAAAAAAAACTTGTCCATATTATCACGACACAGCGAATATGTTTCATGGATTTCTCATATGCATTTTAAATGGAATTTTCCAAATCTTTACCTGCATTTTTGATGATGTCTCTCTCATTTTCCACTATAATTCATTTGGCACTCAGTACCAACTAGCAATGGGCAATCAACATCGCTCACGTATATAAACTACAATTATTTTTTCAGTTAAAGCTTGACTGCCAATTATGAAACATTATCAAGTCACAATGGAGAACATCCACTGAAGAAAAGCTATTAAATATCAAAGCAGTTCAATGCAGTAATCAAACCGAACCAATTTAATTTGAGTAAAGGGTAAAATTCCCAAGCAATTGAACATTCCCAGGGTTATTGATGTTTGTCGGTGTGTTTTGAAATCGAAATGAGGACAATTTTGAACGATTTAAATGACATTGGAATTTTACTTGTGACTAGAACTGTACAAAAGGATCTTCTTTGCTAAAGCAAAGTAATTAAACGACATCAGGAGAACTAAAAAGAAAAAAAATGGCAAAATTCAAAGTGCTGAAGCATAATCAAGAGTTGATGGCTTTGTTGGGTATTCATTCGCATCGTTTAACCGAACCAACTAATGAGTTCTTCAAATTACCGGTGACCTATCTGGTGCTGTTCATTTTATGCACATTTTCCATCACATCATGTGCTATGTTTGCATACAAGAATTTTTCACAGTTTGGTGCTGCTCTAGAAGCGATTTATATCATGATTGCCGGAGTCCAGTGTGGCGGTATGTGTCCATCCTGCACCCTCAATAGATTTTTTTACTTCGATCGCTTTTGCGATTGATTGCAATCAATGATTTAGCTTATTTTTCATCTCATTGAACTTTGGCATGTTCCTAATGTTCAGGTATGTACTTGAGTGTCGGATTGAAAATGAAGCAAGTGAAATTGTTGCAACAAAAACTGCAAGAGATTGTCGATGAAGGTAATTTTTTGGTATTTCTGATGCAATTTTCCATTCATTTAGTTCAATATCACAACCGACGCAAAGCTTTTGTACTCATTTTTTCTAGATATACTTTCGAAAGTTTTAATTTTTTGTTCCGTAACTTCAGGACATACGTTCGATGTGGCTGAGCTGTATTGGAACACCGAGAGAAAGTGTCGACAATACACCAAAACGATGGTCTACAGTTATGTAATGTTCATTGAAGGGCTTTTGTTGACTAAATTCGTGCAGTCCATTTATTTCGTGTTTTTGGCAAACTCTGATCCAACTTCGATCGCTTTGCCATATTATATGGTGGTTCCTTTTGATACCACAACCCTCTGCGGATGGTATTTATTGTGGTTCATTCAATGTGTAATGTCATTCAATTACTCAATGGGCGTCATATCAACGACATCATTCTTTTTGTGTTGCTGCATTTACATCGATAGTATTCGAAAGCACATGGAACTGATATTTGCCTCTCTAAAGCAAAATATTGATCAAATCCGGCAGGTGAAGAAACGAACCGCTTACCACAAACTCCGTCGAGATATTCAAGAGAATCTTCACCAAGCCATTGATTTGCATGTTAAAGTCATAGAGTGAGTACAGATTTTTTGCCGTTCACTAGTAAATTTTGCGGAAAGAGAAACTAGAGCTAAGGAGATTTTCTTCGACAGCATTTTCAGAATGGTAGCCGATATAAATGGTGGAACAATCTTTTCTCTTCTCCCGGTGAACGCAGTGTTTCTGGCCATATCAATGTATCGAATGGAGAACGTATGTGTTTTTAGTTTTGAATGTGTTTTTTTGAAATCGAAAGCCTTTCTAATTTTACCTATTTTCATTGGATCTTCTTTCAGTTAGAACTAAATTTGATTTCGTTTGCCCAAGACATTCTGTATATTGTATCGTCTTTGTGCTGGCCATACGTTTTCTGCCGTTTCGCGACACATGTTACCGATCAAATGGTTTCAATCGGTCGCATTGCCTATGAAGTCAACTGGTACGATAGCCCGGTTGTGTGGCAAAAATACCTTATCTTGATCATTTCTCGATCGCAGCAAAAAGTCTATTTCACCGGTTTCAACCTAATTACTTGTACATTGGAAACTTTTGCAAAGGTTACATTTTCATTGGTACAAATTCGATGATGGCATTCTCAACTCCAAGTTATTTATTTTGCAGATACTCCACTCATCCTGCTCTTACTACTTGATTTTTAGACGAATTTCACAAGAATAATCTTATTATGAAATACCAAAATGGCGAAACGTTACGACTACGCGTACCACGACGTTTAGTAATTTTCTTTTTTTCCTAAACGTAGTGGTACGCGTAGTCTGTACGCTTCACTTCTTTGTGAAATATGCACTAAATTGTGACGACAATCCATGTAGTGTACGTTTAAATATGAAATTAAACAAACAAGCTCGAAAAACCATAATTTTAGTTGTTTCTAGATTTCCTAAAAGATGACCGTTGTTCAAGTGGACCGTTGAGAAACAAACGAAAAATAGTGTTGCGAGATGACATATCTGATTTTATGAAAAAGTTCAATTCCGATTATTAAGCATTTCAGAACAAAATTTCCAATTTATCATTCCGATTGGATTCAATACCGATTTCTATGAGTAAAGATTCCCCTAAATTCTTTGTGAATACCGACACTAGCGGACACTAAGTATAATTAATATTAAAACAAAGCTCATATTTCCTTGAAAAAAATTGTTGAGAACTTATATTTTAACCCAATCTATGTTGAATCGAATCGAAAACAACTGCATAATTGAAACGAAAAGTTCATGTAAAAGTAAGTTTCGTAACACTGCTTAATGTTCAAATAATAATTTATCGTTTTTTTTTCTCATTTAACAGCAAATCAAAGCATCTTGCTCGTACTATTTATTATTCAGAAAATTTGCACAGCGTTGAATTTGCGCAGATATGAGATTCCCATATAACCTATCTTGCTTTCGCTCTGAGCGTGTAGCATATATATGCCGTTATTTCTCGCGGCCTCAAAAAGGACATAGACAGAGCCGTCTTAGATTTGGTATTGATTCAATATAAAGTGAAAGTTTGAGGGGAAAAATTCAAGTTCTCTTTTGATAGGCCATGTGTATTGAGGATCCGAGTGACGTTTCTCATTTTTTCAAATATTTTCTTTCCAATAATTATTATGTTCTTATTGAAAAATTATGTTGTAAAATAGGTTCCAGAGATGCATGCACGTTGCACGGTGTACGTTGAAATAGCACATTTCTGTGCTGTGCCGCTTACGCGTAAAGTCTGTGCAAAATTTTTGTCTCTCTGTACAACACTTATTTGCATCAAATTGTAAACTATTTGAGCGCACACTATCCATGGCTATATGATAAATTACCATTTCAGTATTTGCAAGTTTTTAAGAATCTATGTCAGTGCTGTCCAACTTGTTTTCTGCTGTGGCCAAAATAGTGGCCCTGAGATCGAGCCGGTGGCCACTTTTTCAATCAATGAGAAAAAACCCAAAAATGTCGTAAAACATTTGATGTTTCTTTATTCAATCATTAATGAGATCGTCGACAACTTTTATTTTCGGTCAATTCAGTTAAATTGGGCTTGGATTCACAAAGTTTGCAACGAATTTCCGATTCTAAATTTTCCTGAGATAATGCACTGCGGAGTTTGTATTTGCATTGTGTAAGGCTGGAAAATGTGCTCTCACAAACATATGTTGAGCCGAACATACAAAGAAATCTTGGTAAAATATTTTTGAGCACCAAAAAGTTACAATTTAATAGCAATCGCTTCCACAATGCATCACTCATTTCATTTGGAAAATGAGTTTCTTCATTTATTAGCGAAATATCAAACTCCAAGTGAGTTTTTTTTGTATTGAAAAGATCGAACAAATTTTGAAATTTCATTTTGATTGAAAAGAAATGGATTTTTCAAAAACTTGAATGCCAAATGAAATTTTTTTAAATCCGAAAATCGTGAATCGAGTGCTTTAATCAAAATATTGAGATACTGAAAAAAATGTCTGTGTCGTAGCCGAGCTCGAATTCTTCACTGAATTGGTTTGAATGAAAGCGAATGACGAACTCGACAGCATTGTTACATAAACAAGTCTCGACAAGATTCATCGACCGAATCCAATCAAAACAAATTTGCTTGCATACAAAATTATTGCTTATTACACACTTTTGATGAAAAATTGAAATGAAGCTACAAACGAAAAAACAGCACGGTTTTTATCAAATGTTTATGTTAAATAGAGCGTTATTGAGAATTTTACAGTAGCGAATTTATTTCTATTGCTGCTCTTTGTTCGGTTCAGTTTATCAAATTGATGTTAAATCATTGAAAATTAAATATGATATATCATGGAAATCAAATCTTCTCGTGGCCACTTGAAATTGTCTCGGTGGCCAAATGTGGCCCAGTGGCCACCATGTTGGACAGCACTGATCTATGTGTTGTTTGACAAATAAAGAATGTATGTAAAGTATTTAAATAAATAATATGTATGAAAGGTTCGGATGAGTGCGCTTGTTCCTTGTTTAAAATTCAACGCATATGACCAAGACAACCAAATATACTCACGGGCAACCTTTGAATATTTACGAAAAGTTTTTCACACATATTCTTAGAAAATAGAGTTGCAACCTATTTGAATTGCCTTATTAAAAACTTTTCCATACAGTAATTTGAAATGAGACTTTTTTGGTGCCCAAAAAAGTTTGGTGCTCTGAAAAGTGCTTTACTGTGCCGATAGAAGAGGTGTCTTTAAAATCAAATTCAAAATATCAATAGCTAATTTACCACAAAAACTGCAATCGAAAGTGATTTTAAAGGAATAACTCTTGGTATTTCATGTTGAAAAGTTGAACAAAAACTGTACATTGGATAATATAGTAGTTAGTATGCTTGTAACATGATAGAAATCCAACCATAATTTCTAATGAACAGATATAATATTCTTGATCGTTATTTTTCATAGATATTGATAAGAGAGACTTCTGGAAATCAAGCGGCAAGTGAGCTCGTAACAATCATATAATAACAATATATTGAACATATGTACGATCCCATGCCTTTTCAATAATTTTTTCTCAACATCAAAATTGGGTAATTTAAAACATTTACAGTAAAATAATCCTATATATTAATAATAGGATGATTAAAACCACATTATGACAGCCGAGTTACGAGCGCCATCGAACTGTGCTTGCCTAAAAGAATGAGATATAAATACATTACACAAACAAAGTTATTGATTTTTTTTTTCATATATTTACCATTGGAGTTCTTCTATTACTAATAGTAAGCCTATTGTTGGCTCCATTTTCAAGGGGAATTTTCAACATTTCATGCCGACCTGAACAGAGAAATGAAACGGTTTTGACTTTTTGCCTGGATATTTGATGAATTTTCGTTGGAATTACCAAACGAGGCAGCCACTTTTATAGGAGTCCATCCGTTTGCATCCTTGAAATTTACATTCGCACCATGATCAATCAGAATTTTCACCATTTCATCACGACCTGTGCAAAGAAATAAATAACGTTTGATTGTCCGCATTTTTTATGTAATTCTTTTGCAATTACCACGCCAGGCAGCCACATGCAAGGGAGTTCGTCCTTTTTCATCTTTAAAATTCACATTTGGCGCGAATTGACCAATGAGAATTTTCACCGTTTCTTCGTGACCTAACCTCTCCTTTTTTATTTTCTCTGGTTTATATCCATACCATTTATGCGAAGAAAATCTTCAATTCGACTACGATCTGATAATATAGGCTTAAATTTAGAATTTAAATGAATTTCACATGTTCACAGCATTCGTTTACCAATACTGGGGAAATCTTCTAATCGGTATAAGTATTTCTTAGATAATGACCAATGTAACCAATCTGTGTTACGATGCTCATTCAAAAGGGCGAACAGCTGTTTCAAATCGAATCAATCAAAAGATCTTTAAAGAAGAATTCTACACAGGATTTAACAAGTTTTAAATTTTTTTTACCTTATTCAACGTATTCTTCTCATGCATGTCCACCGGGTTTGAAACATTATTTAATTGCTTTTCATACCAGTTGTGAATGTGTGCCACTTTGTTTCGTTCGAATGTTCTGCCATTGTTTTACAAATAAATTAGCGCGTACCCAAATGAACGCTGTACAAAGTGCCACAGACTCAGTCACAGAGATGCATGCATACACAGTGTACTTTTGAATGAAACAGCATGTCTATGTGCTTTGCCGTTCTCGCGTATTATGTGAATGCATCTCTGTGACTGAGTCTGTGGAAGTCTGTAAAGCGTTCATATGGGTATGAACTGATATAAAATATAAAGTCAGCGAAATAAAATTGAAATGCTTACCTCCGTTTTAAATTGTATACTTCATTACTGGGAGTTTCTGTATCTGAAAAATTTTATGGGTTTTTATTAGCATTGAAACATTATTTTACATTGAAAAATAATTTTAAAAAGTGAAAGTACCACTTCTAATCCGTTCTAGTTTAACTCCGAGAATGTTCGGAAAGAAAATTACATTCCAGCCCAGACTGTCGGTGTTGTTAAAATTATTTCTAAGTTCCGAATAAGCCTCAGCGTTAAGATGAGAGAGCTAAATCTCCTTCAAATGAATGTCGTTGATCAAATCCATTATGGTTGAACATTTCAAATTTGATGCGAATTCAATTTCAAGAAAGCGCAACTGTGGCAGCACCTTTCTTATTTTCGGCACAATTTGATCGCTTATCATTGTTGGTTTTACGCTTAACGACAAGTGACGAACTTGGCCATTTTTCATTAAAAATTCTTGATGCCATGAATCCGGTAAAATGAACAGATCCATGGTGATTTTCTGAAGTTGTCCAAAGTCAAATGGAAAACGCATGTCATGAACGGTGGTGATTTCAAATTCTTGCAACTGTTTAAAAACATACGGACGACCGTAACTGAAAGTACTGAAAGAGAATTAATTTTTAAAATGGTACCTTTCTATTCTTAGTTCCATGGCAAAGTCAAAAGAAACGTAACAAAGTACGAGACTTCTTATGCTTCAAAATTGGACTATGCGCTAAACAATAAATTGATTACCCGGTCATGGCAGGTTTTGAGACTCCTTCCAATGACAACTGCTTGAGGTGGGAAAATCGATCACTAATGAAACTCAACAGCGCTGACGTCGATTCACCCCATAATGTTATGTTCTGTAGGTGTTCCTGGTTCATGTTCAATGACTGCCTTATGTCGGGCTCATTGAATATTGCACCATTTTTATCGAAGCAAACTTTGAGCTCTCTCAAATTTTGAAAATTTGTTTTGATGATACTTGGATCATTGATCGCAGTGAGCGTGCTGCTAAATTCCAATGTCTGAACATTCGAAAAGTTTCTCTTGAATGCTTCAGCAACATTTTGGCCAATTCTTCCGCTTTTGAATTGTACGCGTTCGATTACTGGGAATTCTTTTGTAAAAGAGTTGATTTCATCGCCTTCGAGGTCATAAAATTCAATTTCTTTCAAATTCCACCAGCAATTTTCACTAATCGCAGCATATATGGATGGCTGGATTTCATTGACGCTTCTACAATAGATTCGCAAGTGTTGTATTTGAGTGCCGTAGTTCTTCAGGAACTTGATGTTGGGCATTAAATCTTGGACAATTGTATATAATAGTTTTTCATGCGGTGGAATCTCCTGATCGGGACCCATGAACAGAAATTTGTCATCCAAATGCCATTTTTTAACCGTTTCAGCCACTAACTATTTTTTTGGGATGGAAAAGTTGATTTCATTCGATTTTTAATTATAATTAAATGATTATTTAATTTAATTGTTTCAAATATTCATTCAATTGATTGATTAGTTGGGTCATTATTTGATTTCCAACATCATCATAGTCATCCTTTTACTTCGATCCTTGTAATGCACTAAATTTTCTTCAAATACTTTGTTCTAGAGTCAACTTACCTCTTCTGGGTCATTAATTTCGCGAATCATGTTTTCTAATTTCCTGGGCCTGACTTCCGATCCGGAATTCCGTTGAACAAAAGTCAATGGTGTTTTATTAACTGAAAAGGAGTTTGGCTGCTCTGCATCGTTTGTAGGCGTGGCGTTATTCATTGTTATTTTATTGGTACTTTCATGTGCAGTCGTCAATTTTTCGCTGTCATTTGATTGTAATACTTTTTTTGATGACGGTACAAGACTGATGTCCGGCATCGTCGTTTCCAGTGCGTCATGATCTTGATGGGGACCGTCCGGATTTGTGTCATCTAACTTATTGGAAACACTTGCCTTTGGTTGGATTTCAGGTTTTGATGACGAAGCAACATTGCTTTCTTCTCGATCTGATTCTAATGTACCTGGTGTATCCTCTTCGGTAGTCTTCTCAGGACTTGGATCAAATTTCATTTGCTTTGATTGATCGTTTAATTCGTTGATGCATCTTTTGATGGTGTCACTGAATCTCTTTGCCGAATCGGTTTCTTCGAACCGAATCATTAGACTCTCGAATTGATCATTTTTTTGTTCTTCCGCAATATTCTGGCCTTCCAAAACAAATCCCCTTTTGCTCCATTCCATTGGATTGATTTTTAAATCAAGGGTTAATTTCATGTTCAAAACCAACTTGTGAATTCGGTCACAACGCAACAACAAACGATATGAATGATTGACTGGATGATACAACACTTTGAATTCGCCAAAACCTTTAGGCTGAAAGATGAAATAAATATTAATTTCGTCAAAATTTCAAATTATCAACTTCAAATAATTACAATTTTTTTGTCTGAATCGAACCTATAGAGAATGACTTGTTCTCCAAATAGTTTCTTTTCGTGTCCTCCACCGCCGTTCACTACAATTGGCATTGAACCATTCGAATCGGAGTTGTCAACTTCTGTGTCATTCTCACCATTCACTGTATCATTCTCACAACGTTTTGCAATTCGACATTTGTGTGTGACTGATTGGAAATACTATAGTCTGATTGTGTCACCATTGTCGATGGCGATGCAGAACCGCTATCTTCAATTGCGTCTGACTATTTGGGAGGAGACATGAATAAAGTGTTTATATTTGTCCAACTAAACGAAATATTTGATAAGACCAAAACTGAAATGATCTAGGTTAAACGGGCGATAAAGAATAAATCGCTTGATTCCACACTTGTCCCATTCTATTACTCACTTTGACTGGATCATCGATTTTTACGGTTATTCCCTCTGCTATTTGTTCCACGATGCATTCACCATCTGACCGACTATTATCTCGATCTGGTTCCGATGTAAATGTTGCATCATTTCTGGTCTCACCGGTATTCATGCTCAATGTATTTCCAGGATATGTGTCCAATTTCATTTGCTTTGATCGATCGTTTAATTCGTTGAGGCATGTTTTGATGGTATCATTGAATTTCTTCACCGAATCTGTTTTTTTGAACCGAATCTTTAGACTCTCGAATTGACCATTTTTTTGTTCCTCCGCAAAATTCTGGCCTTCCAAAACAAAAGTCCTTTCGTCCCATTCCATTGGATTGATTTGTAAATCAATGGTTAATTTCATGTTCAAAACCAACTTGTGAATTCGGTCACAACGCAACAACAAACGATATGAATGATTGCCTGGATTATACAACACTTTGAATTCGCCGGCACCTAGCTTTTCCCACTAAACAATGAAACAAAAAACATTAATTTCGTCCAAATATAATTTCCTCAAAATTGTGAATTATCAATTTCAAATGATTACATTCTTATCTGAATCGAATTTATAGAGGGTGGCTCGGCCAAACATTTTTTCTTCGTGTTCTTCCATTTTTTGTAATATTTTTCTTCTACTTTCTCACACTTTTAACTAACATCTCGCACACTATAATAATCTTCTGAAAGTTCTCCTCAATGCTCCTGCATGTGCAAATGCACGCCGAGTTGGAACTATAGCTGCGGTAGTTGGTTATGTAACCAAAGTTAATCCAGAATGAATTTTTCGTTCGTGATTTGGAGTTTGGTGCCTCGCTTCAAGTTCAGTATCACTAAGTGATTCATTTTATTGTCAACGGTTTTTATACTGTAGTTTTATCGTTGCAATCAATATATCCCTTATCAGTACTTGAATTGTGCATGTGATTTTATCGCAGCAATCGTTTGAAATCGATCGATAAGATTTGTCACGCTCATTGCAGTAGAGAAGCACTAATGGTTCCATATCGCCAACTTGCAATATAAATGCATTTCATATGTGTATTCTTTTTTTTTCATTCGAAGAAGTGAACACCGTCGCGTGAAAAGTCAATAGAGACAATTTAAACACGTACTGTGATTATTCTGAACCGACACATGGAAACCTATGTAAGCAAACTATTCTCGGAAATTCCGAGTCGTAATATTGAGGTACGTTACGCCGCCCCCCCCCCCAAATTTAATGCTGGGATGCGACCGGCACCATTAATTAGTGCTAAATTAGTGCTGGCGAATGGTACCATCGGTTAATTTTATGCTGCGATAGGGAGCTAGCACTAATTGAAAAATGTGTAAAAACTCGATTTTTGGTACTTCTACAGGGCAGCTACCCGAAAATGAGACTTTTTTGTACTGTGACCGGGCTATAAAATTAGTGCTAGATTAGTGCTGGCAAATGCCGTTCCCAGATCCAAAAAATGTTCAAAGGGGACCGAGCACTAATTGTAAAAGTGTTTGAAAAGTCGATTTTTGGCACTTTTACAGGGGACCTACCCGAAAATGAAACTTTTTTGTACTGTGACTGGGCTATAAAATTAGTGCTGGCAAATGCCATTCCCAGATCCAAAAAAACTTTACTGGGGACCGAGCACTAATTGTAGAAGTGTACGAAAAATCGATTTTTGGCACATTTCCTTGGCAAGTTGTATAAATTGTATTTACCTGCACAAAAAGTCATCGATTATTCCGTGTTCTTCGCATTGTTACTTTTCCGCACGACCATGTTGTGAGTAAAAGTATTGTAATCACTCCAGAACCTAGGTACCCCGAAAAACCATTTTTCTATCCATTTTCGACACCAAAAATCGCGATACAGTGGTTATTTTACTATGTTAATGTGGGTGTGTCGTACCCTGTACGCTGTACGCTGTACGCTGTACGCAAAAATTTGTTAGCACGATTGCTCAAATACCAGAATAGGAAATGAAATTCTGCAAGTATCAAACGTTTGTATCAATATCGAGAAGATATGCTGAAGAGAGAACTTAATAAGGTATATTGTCAAATAACTACCAAAGATACTCCATACACAATAGTGAAAATTTACATTCTACTAGGCTTTTGTTGGTTTCAAACATGAACTGTCTACACCAGCGCCAGGCGTTGCGACGGGTAACTGGGGATGTGGTGTTTTTAATGGTGACAAACGTTTGGAAGCAATTCTTCAATTGATGGCTTGCATTGTTAACGATCGCCCATTAGTCTATTTCACCTTCGGGGATGAGAAATTTTCCAATGAATTGGTCGCATTCCACAAATATTTGACAGGGAGCAAAATCACAATTGGTAAAAAAAAGAAATGAAAGAGACATTTCAAGGTGTACTTACGTTAAAGTATCTTTATTTTTATTCTTGTATGAATCTCTCATCGCTGTTCAGCCGAGTTATGGGACCTTTTGAAAGGGTATGTAAAGTCAAAATACAAAGAGCCTCTATATGAATTCATCAAAAGTGGCTACGAAAAGTCTATGTAAGTGACCAACTTATCATCATTCCACACACGCTCCACAATGAAGTAAAAAAATTCAATTATTCACATTTAGGAAGAAAACGCCAAAAAAGACTTCAAATTCAAATAAACTAGATCAATTTTGTTCAATGTTTAAATGGCATTTTAATGTGCACATGGCAAAGACAGCTGATGTAGCTAATAAGTCAGATGATGCAGATGATTGAAACCGTTATTTCCTATATTTTTAGGCCCTGAAGAAGAGTCGCAGATGACTTGGAATGTCTGCATTTATTTCAAATAAATTATCGATTGGAACAAAGACCGAATTGGCTTTCATTTCAAAATCAATTCTTTTCTTAATATTCTTGATTTAATGAGATGAAATAAAATTTTAGCGATAATATGAAAAACGTACACCACGGAAGACCTTTGAGCTTTTGACCAGAACAAACGCCATCTAACGATGGCATTATAACTAGTTTGACCGTATTTAGATAGTAAAGCTTGAACGAAAATTCAATGCTAGGTAAAAACTTCTTGAAAAGTGCTTGATAAACTTAATAAAATAAATACATTTTTCGATCTTTGACACAAACGGAACAAGCTTTTTCTCAGTATTAGTGATATTTTTCTCGAATCTGTGCCATAGATTTTTTACCACTACGAAGAATTTATTTCATGGAAACAAAAAGTTGGCTGTGTTGGTACGAAATGCGACAGTGACAGAATTTTTTTCTTTTTTATGTGATTTGTATCGGATTGTAAGTATTTCTTTACGTGAGTGTTCATTGGAATTTCAAACTAATTGAGGAGCTGTCTATATTTCTATGGAAAGTGTTACTGAGTATGGATATGATTTTGCATGAGATTCGCTTGTAATTTTTTTAAGGGAATGCGTAGATTTGTATCAATATCATCGTATCCTACCTATACCTTATTGAGTGATGTAAAGTAAATGTGATACCGTATATCCTTGCTATTGAACAAAGCAACGCCACCATGGCATGTGAGCCTGAATGTAACGTAAAGGTATGAGTCATGTCGTTTGATCATTCAAATTCTAATTTACATCATGTAAGCGACGGTTGATCTGTGGTCAAATTTGGGTCGACTTTGAAACGGAATGTGTTTTGTGCATGCAGCGAAGATGTAACATTTTTTAAATTTGAACAGCCACATGCCATAATAACACCACTCAATCCTTAAAGAGTGAAACATAATTGAAACAATGGCTATGCCGCAGGCTAGTTTTAGTCGATAATTTATTTATTTCTGGTTGCGACGTTTCGGACACACTCGGTGTTCCATTATCAAGCACTACAAAATCAAAAAAAAGTGTATAAGTAAACAATATAAACAAAACATTCTGTTCATCACAGACTCACAGTTAGAATGCGTTTTTACGCAAAATTGAAATTCTCTCTTAACGCGAACATTTCGATCACGTTCGGTGTAAATCACAGGAAATTGGTTTTAAAAATACAAAATACTTAAATGTTTAAATGTTTAAATAGTGAAAAAAGTAAAACTAATTGGAATTGAACAGTCAATATAAATGAATGTGAATCATTCTCCTTCTTCTTCGTCTATCGGTTGTGTGACAGTCATTGGATTCGCCGCATTACTGTTGGTGTTGACATTTCGCCGTTGAGATTGTGTGTTTCGGGCTTTAACACTTTGAAGTACCGATGCGTATGTTTTTGAGATGCCTTGAACATCTCTTCGTAAATTCATTGAATCGTTGCAATAAATATGAAGACTTTCGTTGACTAGTCGCCTTGATAAAAATTGCTCAGTATCAAGAATTGAAACATTCTCAAAATCCGGTTGGTGGCCGGTATTTTCCGCATGGATCGTTAGTGCTGTTTTGTTGTCATCACTTTTCTCATCAGGCGCAACGGGTTTAACGTAATCGGGTGTTATGTGCTTGGTGCTCGTTTTGTGTGCATACATACGGACTCGAACGCGATTTTTTGTTTGTCCGACGTAGTTCTTTGAGCACGGTTCATTCTCTTTTCCACGGCAGGGGATTTTGTAGACAGCGTTTATTTGGTCGGGTGTTTCAATCTTTTGTTTGAGTTTTGTGAACACCGTCTCGCCCAACTGATTCATCGGTTTGAATGCGAGCTCTAAGTGTTCGTTCTTCCCTTTAAACACTTGTTTAATGTCTTCAGAAATCACCGGGAAATACGAAAATCTTTTTCTTCGAATCGGTTCCGATGTTCGCTGTGATGGCGTTTGCGGCGGTCGGTTCTGATTCCGAATGAACTTGTTGAGTTGTGCTTTGATTACACGCATTGGATATGCGTTCTCACGTAGGATGCTGATGATTTTTTCGATGTTTTTTTGCTTGAATTCGTCGTCCACAATCGATAAAACTCGACTGAAGAAACCATATGCAACTGCTTCCTTTTGTTTCAATGTTGGGATTGAAAATTCAAAATGCGATTTGCGGCTGTTGGTTTCTGGTACCAATCAACTTTGATGTCGTTGTTGTCACCGCGTTGAATCAGCAAATCAAGGTACGGGAGGGTTCCATTTGTTTCTTTTTCGACCGTAAAGACGATTTTCTGTGGGAAAACAGCGTTCAATTTACTCACAAATTCGTCAAGTTTGTTGCGAGGAATTATTACAAAAATGTCATCGACATATTTCATTAGCATTTTTGGTGTCCAATCGAGGGTGTCAAGCACTTGGTCGATGATCTCTGTTCCGTCGATTTGCTGGTAATACATGTCACCGTAGGCAAAGACAGCTGCTTCAAGCAGTACGAATTCAAGCAATTCAACGAAGATCTTTTTCGACATAGCCGTTTTTCTGTACAACTTTCTCCATTTTTTCATTATCAAATCGATGGTTTGCCGGATCGGTATACTCGGGAAAAGTGAAACGATATCCAGCGATACGATGATGTCATTTTCGTCAAGTGTTATCGTCCTCAATTTCTCTTTCACCTGCTGTGAATTCTTTACATCGTATTTGTCATGAATGATGTTACGGAAAAAAGAATCAAGCCAAATTGATAGAGCTGAAGCTGGGCTGTTTGTTGTTGAATTCACGAGACGTAGTGGATGACCCGGTTTATGCAATTTGGGGAAAGCATAAATTCTCGAGATTTGTGTGTTATTCTTTTTCATCCTTGCTCTCTGCTTCCAATCAATGTCACCGCATTCGTTGAGTGTCTCGATAATTTCATTCGCTCGTTTTTCGAGTCGAACTAGAGGCGATCGTCTGCCTAGGCATTTGTATGTCATTTTATCATCGAGAAGTTGCTGCATTTTTGCCTCGTATTCGGTTTTGTTCATAGCCACCAGAAACATATTTACCTTTTAAATTTTTGCATTGAATTTGTAGTTTAAAGAAGGTGATGAAAGTATAAATGTAAACATCTGATATTTTCAATGGAAAATATTTGTGTGAAACGCGAAATTAAACACACGCGCACAGCTGGAATTGTAATTCCATCAATTGTTTGACATTGTTATCTTGAAAAATGTGTGCGATAATATTTTGTGGGCTTTAATTGGAATCGTCATTGTACGTGGATTGAATCATACAGTGTGTTGCCCACCGATGTGGCCACACTTGAAAAGTATATAAGAGGATGCGTTCGATTCGCATGTCCATCAAACAGTTCTTACCAAGTGATACGTTCATAGTAAACTTTCAATAGTTCGAAGCTAGAAAAATGCTGAGTCGAAGTTCTTTCACACTGCTGCTCATTGGCTTGATGGTATCCGAGGTGAGTCGACAATTTCAGTCGATTTTTTTTAAATTTTTCATGTTTGATACTTTTCGTGGACAATTTGTGATAATTTTTTCTGAAATAATTTAAAAAATGAAAAGTATCCTTTTTTCAAGTTCTTAAATTGAAAAAATTCTTCTATTCCAAAAAAAATGTCCACCGGAAACTTTTATTTTTATTAAAAACAGTTGAAAACTGTTATTAATACATAATGTATTAATTAATCTCATCCGTTGTTTCCATTCCAAATGTATCACTTTGATTCTATTTCCACAGTTCTTAATCGTGGATGTGAGCGGAGCACCACCCGGGAGGAACGGTAAGATTGAAGTTTCATTTATTTTTCCAGTTTAACTCTTAAATTCCACATACAAAGCACATTGTAACGAAGAAATGGGAACCTCATTTATGCTAAACTTTTCATACATATTTTAGTAAACGAAAAAGACATGTATGGAGAGACAGCTCTGCATAGAGCTGCTTTTGCTGGTAATTTTGGACATTTTTTTTATAAAAAAGAATGTTTTGTTCAATCCGTTTCATTGATCTATGAATATTTTTCATATTCTTTCAGGCAAAGTGAAGGAAGCTGAAAACCTCATCGCTGGAGGAGCCGACCTCAAAATTGTAAATAATTTTAATGAGACAGCTCTGCATTATGCTGCTAAGAAAGGTAACGTTGAATACTTATTGTTATTGAATAAAAGATTGACCTGATTTTATCCCATCGATCGGTGTTATTGTTCAGGTCATGAGAGTGTCGCCGAGCTTCTCATCCGCAAAGGAGCCAATCTTCATAGTGAAACTAATACGAAAGAGACACCTCTTCATTGTGCTGCTTCCCATGGTAATTTTGAATACTCTTTTCGAGTACTATGCGCATTAGTATTGCTTAGCAGCAAGCATTGAATATGCTTTGGCCAATAGACAAGCATATTGCGATGCAACTGCCACGCACACAATTATCATGCAAACAAACGTCGCATATACAGCCATCGCAACCAACTCACACACAAAACCGACTAACATACATACACGGGTGTCAGAGTTGTGTGTGATGTCTGCTACACTTCGTCAGTGCAGCCTTGACTTTTTTTTTTCACTAAATGGGAAATTGGTTTAATTTTTTCATTGATCCGTATCATTTTAGGTCACGGAGGTGTCACTGATGTACTTCTCAAGAATGGAGCCAACGCTGATATTAGAAATAAATTGAATAACACAGCTCTTCATTTAGCTGCTGACTATGGTAATGTTGAATACTTGTTTTCATCAAATAAAAGATTGATTTGATCTTTTCCATCGATCTGAATTATTTTTCAGGTCACAAAAATGTCGCCGAGGTTCTCCTCAACAAAGGCGCCAGTATGGATATCAAGAATCATTTAAAAAATACACCTCTTCATTTGGCAGCTATGAATGGTAATTTTGAATACTATTTTCGAGTAATATGCGCATCAGTATTGCTTAGCAGCAAGCATTGAATATGCTTCGGCCAATAGACAAGCATATGGCGATACAATTGCCGCGCACACAACTATCGTGCAAACAAACGTCGCAAATTTTTTCCATGTTGAGTCAAAGTCATGCTTAAGTACTTAAGGAAATGCCATTTTGGGTCGATACAGAGCTCTGATGGTGTGCAAAAATTCAGAGACCGGCTGGAATGGCATGCACAAATTACGCACAAATTATTGGGCCTGGCGTGAGCCATGAAAAAGCGATATTTCCTATAGTTAACTTATATTCACCCCACCCATTTTTTTGGCCAAATATGTACTTTGGGCGGTTTGTAATTATTTGACCACATATCGCAAATCCGAAGGCATATTCATTATGCACAAATTATGCACAAAATAATTGCATATTCGAACATGCGAAAAAATGCTGCCCTGTCGAGTGGTGAAAATGGCATTTCACCACAGAAAGTAGACTCAAAATTAGAGCATTTTTTGTCTTTTTTGGATCGTACAAATGCATGCACATATTTGTAGGGGTCATGCACAAATTATCTACGCAATCAGACGAGTGATTTTCAAACCTTGTCCGGCTGGGTAGGGGGGGCCAAAAGTCGCATATACAGCCATCGCAACCAACTCACACACAAAACCGACTAGCATACATACACGGGTGTCAGAGTTGTGTGTGATGTCTACTACACTTCGTCAGTGCAGCCTTGACTGTTTTTCACTAAATGGGGAATTGGTTTAATTTTTTCATCGATCTGAATTATTTTTCAGGTCACAAGAGCGTCACTGAAGTTCTCAGCCGTAGAGCAAACGATCTTAATATTAAAAATAATTTTCATAAGACACCTCTTCATTTGGCATCTATGAATGGTAAGGTTGACTAAATCAGATATCCCGTCGATCTCTTTCATTGATCCGTATTATTTTAGGTCACGGACGTGTCGCTGATGTACTTCTCAAGAATGGAGCTAATGCTGATATTGGAGATTTTTCGAATTCCACAGCTCTTCATTTTGCTGTATTCAAAGGTAATGATGAGTATTTATTTTCGCTGAATAAAAAAAATTGGTTTGATCTTTTTCATCGATCCGATTTTTTTTCCAGGTCACAAAAATGTCGCGGAGGTTCTCCTCAACAGAGGCGCCAATATGGATATCATGAATCATGTTAATCATACACCTCTTCATTATGCTGCTATACATGGTAATGTTGAATAAGTATTTTCACAAAATAAAGAATCGGTTTGATCTTTTTCA